TTTTAATTTTTACCTGAATGTGTAAGGAACTGTATTGAATTTAATCAGTTCTCTAAAATGACTTTTAAGAATTTGATGAAAAAGGTCAAAGATAACCTTCCAGCTTGATGTAGTTTTTACTTAACATGGCTAAATAGGTATACTTATTACTACTTATTTCCCATACTCAGTCCATTGTTGTATTCTGACGTAATTCTCTGCATCACATTCTCTGACACTTAAAACTAATCCCTCTACACATTCTATGTCACCTAGTTTTCAACTAAAAGAATGACATAAAAGTATGGGGAATCTTTTTGCATTTAATTACTGCCTATAAGATAACTAAATTTAGAGTTTTCTTTAAAAAAACAAATTAGCCTTGCTTGGGTTTCTCGGACTATACAAGATTCCTATAATAATTGAGCTGATAATGGGAGTAATGTGGCCAATTAACATTATCAACTTTGGTGATAAAACTGATCATTATATGATACCTGACACTAACAATTAAAATCTTTCTGCACTTAATTATTGCTTATAAGATAACTAAATTCATTGTTTTCTAGTCAGAAACAAATTAGCCTTGCTTAGGTTTCTAGGGACTTTAGCCTTGCTTCCCTGTCAGTACCAGAACTGAAAAAGAAATAATGAGTGTTTAGTAGTTATTTTGGGTATGAGTAATTTCAAATATTCCACTCTTTTCTCAGTAGAAATTACTAGTTAAAAATAAAGTATGAATGTATTCCTAAAATTAGATGAGGTACAACAAAGATTAGGAAACTTAAAAGGAGCCTTATAGGCACAAAATTTAAAAAGGGAAGTTATAAAGACAAGTAATTTTTAATTGTGTTTAAATCTACAAGGTCTCAACTTGCTCCACCAGCTGTGAAAGAACACATTTTCTGCCTAGAAATTTCTAAAGTCTGAGAATAAGTGGATATTGCATTCCGACGCTGCATAGACAGCCAAAACAACACAATTTCACATTTTCACAACTGCCATTTAAAATCCTCTCCCCATGTTCATTGTTTATTTGCCATATTTACACAACTTTTTCAGCAGTCTAGTTACCTCTTCTAGTTGTTTCCCAGCCAACTCTGAAAGGAGCCACAGGACACTCAGCAGCCAACATTTCTGCCGATGAACACCAACAAAATTGTTGATTTGTTCACATTCAGAAACAGAGATTATGTCACTTGCAGGGTCACTCCTGTAGCTGAAGGTTGATGTCATCCGGTGTTCATCCTCTTTTGTTGTTAATAGTTGTTTGTTTTCAGGAACCAAATGAATACCTGCCAAACAAAAGAGACAGATCTCAATAAGATAACTCATTTGCAAGTTATGTAACAATGAAAAATCCCAACTACTTCAAAATGTGATGGTTGACAGAACCATTTCATTGTCAAGAGAGTAACATTTTTGAAGGATGTACTGCACAGTACTGGTCAACCTCACCAATTTTCTATGTTACACTTCATTGTGCGAAACAGAAGATCAAAATAATCTTACTCACCATGGGTATCCTTTTCCAAAAGGTAACAAATGATACACCTGACAGTTTTCATGATAACCCCAGGTGAGTTCATAAACTTTTGTAGGAAACCAATTATCCTTATAACATCATCTTGGATCCCTGGATAAACATAGGACAGTTGGCACCCCTGTCTGTCTCTCATTTTCAGATGTAATTTATGTGGATGTTGATCAGCTATTGAAGAAAATGAAGTGCAGTCAAGTCTACAAACTCCAAAATATGCTGAAAATGTGATCTATTAGCTATTCACCTTAGCCTGCAAGGGCTAAAAAAAAAGTCCTGTCCAAAAGCCACAGTTCTATTTGTTTGAATCTGAAGATTGTGAAGATTGGCAAGACTGCATAGGAAAACTTTCACACAACATAGCAACAAATGGAATGCAATACTAACTTTGATACAGCAATTTTAAATACTAATCTGTTCCACTGAAGTCTAACTATAGGTCAACAAAAAAATGAAGTAATAACCAATTCGCATTAAAGCTAAAGTGTATTTTAAAGCTGTTTTGTCCAAAACAGTTTAAAATTAGATAATTTGGTTTCATCAAATTAAGCATCAATGAGTTGATGATGTAAATTGGCCATGACAGAGAGTTTCTAAGCTGATTTTTCAAGGGTTAGCCCTTCATCCCAGAGAATGATGAGCTGCTCAAGCCAATGTTTGTCAACTTCAAATTCTACACATTGAAAATACAAGTAAGTGACTCAGTACTTCAATGAACCATATAGGAAATTCAGTTGTTCACTTCTCTGTTTCTAATGTGAATAGATCTCAGACTTGAGGTAATTCTGTACTTTGAATGATTCCTGAAAAAATCCTGTTGCCAATTGGGCAAATGAGGGTCAGAATCTGCCAGCCTGATCTCAGAATCCATTAGCCCCTGGCTTACTGTACCCAACCTATAAGGTTTGTAACAACGTTAATTAAATATGATCAAATCGTAACAGGTTATAATTATCTGAAATGAACTTACCAGGTTCATTATCAACCTCCATTCTTTCTTCCCTATCAATGCCATATCTGGCTGTAAGTGATAGTTCCCACTCCTGGTGGTGGAATACAGAAAAAAATATCATTACCTGTGATAGGCCTTCTTCAATCTACACCAAAGTTGGTTTAAAATCAGCAAACAAACTCATATTCTGTGACTCACTTTCTCACAAAATGCTTAAACTGTATGTAACATTATCATCATCTAGTTTACTAGCTCTGCATAATGTTTCCAAAGCTTCTCAACAATGAATTGTGCAAGTTTTTAAGTCATGGACGATGGGCCAAAATAGAATTTTGCATCAAGATGAACATTTTGACAATGCTACTTTCTTGTCAAGACAATTGGAGGGTAGATAGATGCAGTCCTGTATAACTTTGTTGAGTGATATGTTTGCAGGTGGAGGAATAATGAGAAACAGCTTACTCTTTGAAATTCCCAGACTGATAACCATGTGAAGTTTGCCATTATTTTATTTATTCCAACATCTATCCACGAAACTCACCTTGCAATGGTACTGCAAGCTGTACCACCAAGCGATACATAAAATTGCAACACCAAGTGATACATGAAATTGCACTCAGACGACTCTGAAAACTAGACTGGCGTAATGGTAATGATTAATTGGTAATAGGACTTCGTGTCGTCCAATTCTGTCTGTAATCACACTCGTGATTGACAAATCGGACTCCCGCTTCGCGGTCGTCCGATTTCGTTAATCACTTGTATGATTACAGACCGAATTGGACTTCACTTGGTCCTATTACCATTATTAATAAGACGCTAGTACTGTAGGCTGGTAGTTGATTTCACGTTTTTGCTTCGCAGAGGACCGCGAAGAAAGATTTTAAGTTGTAAAACAAATATATCTAACGTGCTAAACTATTTTTCCTTCCCCTTCGATCTTTTGTTTTGCCATATCCTCGTTGCCCGGTCTCCTTAGGTCCCAATGGGCTAAATGCTCGATAGTCAGACGGTTTTGAAGACTTCACTTACCTCTTTTTAACGTGGATAAAGCCATTTTGTTCTTGCATGCAATTCGCGGAAGAAGGTACGAGGTATCGAACAGTGGACAATCTTCTCATAATGCTCTTTCACCGTGCTTTAAGCAAAAAAGATGCAGAGGTAACTTTACCTGAATAGTCAAGTGAAACTCGACTCCGTTTATATAATCCTGAAGCTGTTTCCACCTCTTCTGATTGGCTTTCACCTATCATTACCCAGCAGAAGCAGTAAGGCAAAGAGACAATTTGTCTGCGCATGTGCTATAAATTATGCGAGTAATCGAAGTGTAAGAGTCTAAATATTTTTCCTTCCCAGCTTCGTGGCAGCACGACGAAAGCGCCCTTTGGTCTTCCGTTTATTTCATACAAGTGCAGAATGGACTCATCTGCGATAGAGAGTAGTATGAGAATTCTTTGAAAATTACTGAATGTCGGGCATTTAGCTTATTGGGACCTATTGGGGCAATGAGGACATAGGAAAACAAAAGATCGTAATTTCATGTATCACTTGGTGTTGCAAGTGCGAAAATGGTTGAAAAGCCCAGTACTCTCTCGAAACAGTCTTTGAGTCAGTCATGCAATGGCTAAATGACCGGCAGCCCTACGCATTCGATAAATTTGACGAATCAAATGAACTTAGCCCTCCCAAACAATCTGGTGTTGACCACGAAGTGCCAAATGACCCTCAACATGCTTTATATCCCACACCTAAGCTTGGTTAAGTTTAAATGCACAGCTTAAATTGTATAACTTTAGTTACTTAGCTGTATTGACTGTCGAACGTTTCTTTAATTTGAACTCCAAGAGTTTTTTGTTCGAACAAATAATATTCCTAAATCAATACATGTAAATATCTTTCTTCCTTCTCTGATCTTTTTTAGTCACTCTTGATAGTGAAGCAGAATATCAGAGTCCTTGTTGATTAAATTTTTACCTGGAAAACTGTTCTTTTTCAGAATCAAGTATCACCTTGCAGTACCATTCTGAGGTGAGTTTCATAGATAGATGTTGGAATGAACCAAAAAATGTTGAACATCACTTGGTTATCAGTCTGGGAATTTGAAAGAGTAAACTGTTTCTCGTTATTCCTCCACCCGCAAACATATCTCCCAACAAAGTTATACATTTCTTTGTGGAGACACGAATGCATTTATTTATGTTCCAATTGTCTTGAAAAGAAAGTAGAATTGTCAAAAATGTTCACCATGGTGCGAAATTGTATTTTGGCTCATCATCCAAGACTTAAAAACTTGCACAATTCATTGTTAAGAAGCTTTGGAAACATTATGCAGAGCCAGTAAACTCAATGATGATAATGTTATATACAGTTCAAGCATTTTGTGAGAAAGTGAGTCACAGAATATGAGTTTCTTTTGCTGATTTTAAACCAGCTTTGGTGTAGATTGAAGAAGGCCTACTACAGGTAATTACATTTTTGTCTGTATTCCACCTACAGGATTATGACCTTAAACTTAAAGTCGGACATGATGAACCTGGTAATTGCATTTCAGACACCGTAATTATAACCTGTTTTGATTTGAATGTACTGGTTTTCATATTTAGTTAACACTGTTCACATTACAAGCCTTATAGGTTGAATATATTGGATTTTGAGATCAGGCTGGCAGATTCTGACTCACTTGCCCAGTGGGTTAGAGGATTTTTTCAAGGACTGTTCAAAGTACAGAATTACCTCAAGTCTAATACCCTTTTCACATCAGCAAAACATGTTCAGTTCAACAGTATTTAACTAAATGAACATCAGGAACGGAGAACTAAACAACTGAATTTCCTTTATGCAATATTAACATAGCCACTAACTTGTATTTTCAATGTGTTAAATTTGAAGTTGACAAACCTTGGCTTGAGCACTGCGATGAAGGGCCAACCCTTGGAACATCAGGTTAGAAACTCTCTACGGTATCCAGTCACCTCGCCACCAAGCAGACTCGCCACCAGCGAACTCGCCACCAAGGAACGATCTCACCACCAACGTACTCGCCACCAAGCGAAGTCTTCTCGCCACCAACCACCAATAAAGAGATTAGTCGAGGACAGTTGGATGTTCGGCTGATAAGTCTGTACTCAAACTTTATAAACGTATGTTGTCGAAAGCACGTTCGAAACCGATAAGTTTGTTCGCTTGTCTTTACTCAAACTTTATAAACGTATGTTGTCGAAAGCACGTTCGAAACCGATAAGTTTGTTCGCTTGTCTGTACTCAAACTTTATAAACATATGTTGTCGAAAGCACGTTCGAAACCGATAAGTTTGTTCGCTTGTCTGTACTCAAACTTTATAAACGTATGTTGTCGAAAGCACGTTCGAAACCGATAAGTTTAGTTTTAATACAACTGCTATCGAGTTTCATTTCATCACTTATTTCTTCCCATGAAGTTTCATTTTCTCTCAACTAAGTTTTTATTCCTCGCATCAAGTTTTGCAATTTCTCCTCGCTTACGTGCAAAAGACAAACACGATACGTTTCGATGTCAATGAGTTAGGAACGGAACACATCTAACACGTCGCTGAAGGTCATAATTTAAATACAGACAAGCGCACAAACGTATCGGCTGATTTGAATTGTGCTCGTTCGAACATCCTACTCTCCTCGACTACTTTATTCTAGTTTATCTCATTATTGGTGGTTGGTGGCGAGAAGACTTCGCTTGGTGGCGAGTACGTTGGTGGCGAGATCGTTCCTTGGTGGCGAGTTCGCTGGTGGCGAGTCTGCTTGGTGGCGAGGTGACCGGTAACCCTCTCTACCATGGCCAATTTACATCATCAACTCGTTGACAATAAAATTGATGAAACCAAATTATCTAATTTTAAAGTGTGTTTAATTAACAAAACAGCTTGAGAACATGCTCAAGCTTTGGTGTGAATTGGTTACTACTCAATTTTTTGTCAACTTACAGTTAGAGTTAAGTAGAACTGAATTAGTATTTGAAGTTTCTCTGGTGAAGTGAGTATTGCATTATATTCGTTGCTAGGTAGTATGAAAGTTTTCCTATGCAGTCTTGCTAATTTTCACAATCTTCAGATTAAAATTGATAGAAATGTGCATTGTGCCAATGTAGGCTAAGGTGAATAGCTAATATATCACATTTTCTGCTTATTTTGGAGTTTGTAGACTTACCTGCACTTTGTTTTCTTCAATGGTGACACAACTTCCAGATTGTTTACATCTGACAATGCAGCACAAAGAGGTGTGTTATTTGAGCTATAAGTTTCATGGGACCCAGGATTGTGAAGTGGAGAAAGTGGGTCTTCTGGAAGATTTTGTGAAGTCGTCGGCGGATATTATGAAAACTGTCAGGTTTATCACTTTTTATCTTTTGGAAAAGGATACCAATGGTGAGTAAGATTATTCCAACCTTCTGTTTGATACAATGAATTGTAACATGGAAAATTTGTGAGGTTGACCAGTAGTGTGCAGTACATCCTCCATAAATGTTACTCACTTAACAATGAAATGGTTCTTTCTACAATAGCATTTTAATGTAGTTGGGTTTTTTTGTTGTAATATAACTTGCAAATGAGTTATCTTATGGAGATCTGTCTCTTTTGTTTGGTAGGTGTTCATTTGGTTCCTCAAGAAGAAGAACTTTCCATAAGGAAAGTGGATGAACATGAAGGTACATCAACCTTCAGCTACAGGAGTAATCCTGTGATGGATAAAACGAGTCGTTCTGAATGTCATCAAATCAAGAATTTTGTTGGTAGTTGTCCAGGTAAAAGAAGGCTGATGAGTGTCCTGTGGCTCCTTTCAGAATTTGCTGTGAAATCTTTTGGTAAGAGGAGATAGTAACTAGTCTAGAGATAACTTGAGAGTGTTGAAAAAGTTATGTGTAAACATGGAAAGTAAACAGTGGACAAGGGGAGAGGATTTTAGAGAGTTTGTCTTTAATAGCAGTCATGAAATGTGAGGTTGTGTTATTTTGGCTGGCTATGGAGTGTCAGAACGTAATGCCTACTTATTCCCAGACTTCAAAAACATTTATTTATCTATCAGTTGGAGTCATAGCAGACCAATAAAATCTCCTGATTATTGAACGAGTTTCATTTTGGGAAAGAGTGGAATCTTTGAAATTACTTATACCCAAACTGACTACTAACACATTATTTCTTATTCATGTTTGCTACTGTAAATATAGAAAATTTACAATGGGCAAGGGGAGAGGATTTTAGAGAGTTTGTAATAAAAGGAAGTTGTGAAAATGTAAAGTTGTGTGGTTTTGGCTGTCTATGCAGTGTCAGAATGCAATGCCTACTTATTCTCAGACTTCAGAAACATTTATTTATCTATCAGTTGGAGTCATAGCAGACCAATAAAATCTCCTGATTATTTAATGAGTTATATTACAGGAAAGAGTGGAATCTTTGAAAATACTTATGCCTAAGCTAACTACTAGCTCATTATTTCTTATTCATGTTTGTACTGTAAATATAAAAAAAATTAACAATGGGCAAGGGGAGAGGATTTTAGATAGTTTGTCATAAAAGGAAGTTGTGAAAATGTAAAGTTGTGTGGTTTTGGCTGTCTATGCAGTGTCAGAATGCAATGCCTACTTATTCTCAGACTTCAGAAACATTTAAGCAGAAAATGTGCTATTTCACGGCAGGGGAGCAAGCTGAGTCCTTTTAGATTTTTAAACATTGAATTAAAAATCACTCGTTTCTATAACTTCCCTTATTAAATTTTTAGCTTATCAGGTGGCATGTAGGGTTTTTAAAATCTTTTCTTACACCACATATAATTTTAGGAATATTTTTGTATTATATTTTTATGCAGTTATTTCTACAACAGTATTGTTAGCTTTCAACACCAGGGCCCTCTGGATACCATCCATATAGCTGAATGGGTTACCCCATATAAATAAAGTTTATCTATCTATCAGTTGGAGTCATAACAGACCAATAAAATCTCCTGATTATTTAATGAGTTTCATTTCAGGAAAGAGTGGAATATTTGAAATTACTTGTACCCAAGCTGACTACCAACTCTTATTATTTCTTTTTCATTTCTGGTACTGACAGGGCAGCAAGGCTAAAGTCCCAAGAAACCCAAGCAAGGCTGATCAGTTTTATCAGCAAAGTTAATTATTTAAATTAGACCCAATACTCCCATATCAACTCGGTTATTATAATAAGAATAGGTTTGAAAGTTTAAATAAACCACGGAAATTAATAACATAATGCATAATATTAATCACAAATGCAAAAAGGTTTGCTATACTTATATGCGATTTTTCTAGTTTGAAACTAGGCAACTTTTAATATTTAAAGAGATTAGTTTTAAGTTAGGGCGAGGTATCACTAATGATTAGTTTTACCAGTAAATATATTTTGATGAAGTTGTAAAGGCCCAAGAAACCCAAATAAGGCTAATTTTCTTGATGGAAAACTACAAATTTAGTCATCTTATAAGCAATATTTAAAATCTATACCTTTATGTCATTCTTCTAGTTGAAAAGAGGCACCAGACACCAGCCAGGTGTTACATATATGCAGTTTTTTCAACAAAATTGATTATGTAAATTGGCCACAGAAGGTACATGACCAACTCAGTTATAATGAGGATATTGTAGATATGGTTTTTATTGACTTTTTCTTTTTTATCATTTCATGTGCTGAATAAATTTAAACACTGCTGTTGTGTATTTGTGTGAATGTACTTGAATCCTCTTACACAAGAGAATAAAGCAAGCCAAAGGTTTGGCAACACTTAACCTTTCCCTTCCCTTCCCCACAATGAGCATTCATATTTTCCATCTTGTTCTCCTAGCTTACATTTCCTATGACACTGACTAGAATTGTTTTTGAGAATAAGGAGCTTCTTAAATTGGTGATCATTTCCTTTATTCTCATAACCTTAACATTCAATTCAAGGGTGATACTGTAAGGAGAAATTAGATGCCAGGCACTCTAAGGTCTACAGGTTAACCTGCCTACTTTTTATCAAAATAGAAATTTATTTAGGGAGTGACTTGGTTTGTAGTGGGCAAACTATCATCCTGAGTAACTTGTTGTGGATAAGTTGGGGTGTACAAAAGGTTGATGTTGGAAAAATAAATATCAGTATAAATACAGGAGATTTCGCACCAAAGACTTTTAGCACAAGTTTTGGACCGTTTGCACAATTCTTAGTGGTCATTTCGCACAATAATTATAAGTGAGAAACATCAAAAGGTATACTAGTTGATACTGATAAGACATTTCACCTTCACGTGTCACTTTTAATGACATCCATGTCACTTTTAATGTAATCACTTTCCTAAGCTTATCTCGTGTTCTCCCAACCTCCCGCGTGTTGACATCAGGCTATGTAAACACGGAAACCATTTTACATTTCTTCAATATGTTTAAAACACATGATTTCATCCACCCTTTTCAAATGTAATGGCATAATCATTTCAATTGTAATGCCTTCTTATCCCAGCGTTACTTTATTTCTTTGCTACATTAGCGAATACTGAACTACTGCTCGTACTCTAAATATGACAATCAACCACAAAATTCCCTAAACCTAAACATGATTTTTTGGATTACGTTTAAACGTAATCCAAAAAATCATGTAAGTCATCTGTCAATTCACGAGTTTGCTCACAGAGCACTTTGATTCGAGCTCGCGATGTTTTGCTCCACGTTTGGTTCGGTAGTAGATGAAGATGCAAACTTTTGTAAAAGCTGTGGTAGAGGTACGTTTCTTAATTTAAAGTGTTCGTATTTGCATTTCCTTTAGTTCCAAAGAAAGATAGGCGTGAGAAGACACTGCTACAAATTAGCTGATTAGCACGTGTCTGGAATAAGATTGTGCATGTAGCCTGTGTGTAAGAACACTTTAAATTAAGAAACGTACCTCTACCACAGCTTTTACAAAGTTTGCATCTTCATCTACTACCGAACCACACGCGCGGTGCAAAACATCGTGAGCTCGAAAAGAGGCAGTTTTTCGAGCGAGCAGTGTGCTACTGTTACACGATGTACCATTTCAGATGCAAAATACAACCGCTGACCAGCCGCTGACCAACTCGTTTTCTTTGTTTTGCCGTTTTGTTTTGCCGTCGAAAGGAGGTCATCTCGGGTAGATTTCCGATTACGAAATCCGAGCTCCCCCGATGTTGTGCTCGTGATAAAGGCCCCATTTAGCATTTTTGACCCGCATAATAGAGTAGAAACGAACATGTACTTCGTTTTTGCTCATGACTTCGTTTTAGCGTTAAGATATTTGCATTTTTTTTCGTTTCTAACCTATATTGCAGACTCCACAAAATTTTTGCGATGCCTCCTTTTCACGGATGGCTGATCACAACTACAACATAGTGACACCTCCACGAAATCTGTCAAAAGGAGGATGTTAAAACACCAGAGGTCATCTCGGGTAGATTTCTGATGACGAAATCCGAGCTCGCCCGATGTTGTCTTCGTGATGAAGGCCCTATTTAGCATTTTAGAGCCGCAAAATAGAGTAGAAAGGAACACTTACTTCGTTTTCGCTCATGACTTTGTATTAGCGTTAAGATATTTGCATTTTTTTCCGTTGCTAACCTATAGGACAGATTCCACAAAATACATTTGACGCCTCCTTTTCACGGATGGCCGATCACAACTACAACGTAATGACATCTCCACGAAATCTGTCAAAAGGTGGATGTTAAAACAACGGAAATGATGTCTAAAATACGAACTATCTTCGCACGAAATAAGGCATTGTGAACAGAAATACCTTTTCTTAAATAAAGCTTTTCAGATAAAACATCTAGGTATATGGTAAACTCGGTAAAAGCAACCACGCCCAAAACTATCAAAAATCTTCTGGATTTCTGAGGAAATAAATTTAACGCAATTACGTTTAGAGTTTAAGCGATTGTTTTTTTTTGTTTGTTTTTTTTCATTGTTTTTTCTAATATGTTATTGATTGAAAAATTGAACATTACCTCTATTGGACGGAGACTGAGTATGAATATAATGTAGCAGGCGATATTACTTTTGTAGACAAGGATAATCCGTGGCTTGTCTCACCTATTACATGTTCTCTATCTGCGTTGTGCCATGATATCATTGTAAATATTTTACGATAATATTTTTACAATATTAAGATGAGGATTTTCAATTCTAAATGCAAGAGCGTACTTAGGGAAAGATCTACAAGAAACAGTTTCTTATTAATACGTTTTAAAATTCTTTTAGCTGACTTGTACGTAGATAAAAATTACTACATAGATATTTCACTTCGACGATTATCTTAATAAACAATTGTTGGGAAGTTCTGAGAATCAGTTTTTAATTTATTGACAGATTTCGTGGAGGTGTCATTATGTTGTAGTTGTGATCGGTCATCCGTTAAAAGGAGGCATCGCAAAAATTTTGTGGAGTAGGTAGGCAACGAAAAAAAAAAGCAAATATCTTACAGCTAATACGAAGTCATTAGCGAAAACGAAGCACGTGTTCGTTTCTACTCCGTTTTGCGGGTCTAATATGCTAAATAGGGCCTTCATCACGAAGACAACATCGGGTGAGCTCGGATTTCGTAATCGGAAATCTACCTGAGATGACATCCTTCTGACGGATTTCGGAGTACGCTTTCCGGCCCGTTGTTGTGGGCCACCGTAATATTGTTTTGCCGTGAGTTAATTTTGTTTTGCCGTGACTTTTTGTTGTGCCGTGACAGTTGTGGGCCACCGCACATTTGCTATCTAGTAACTATGAAACCGAAGGTGCTGCCAAAATTGAACATTTCTTTAGTAATCTATACGAATCGATTTCGTCATTAACAAAACGATCCCAAAGCCTAATTATCTTTGACTACATGTCACGATAGCGTTTTCGTTGAATTCTACCGAGTTTAGCTTGACTAACAAGTTCCTCTTGAAGCTCTACTAGCATTGCTTCGCTGTGCCGAAGTTTCAGTAGCAGATAAAATTGCAGCTGATTTATTTGCTTCGAGAAAAGACTTAACAATTAGACGAACAGACTTGGATGAAAAAACTTTTGGGCGAAAAGACCGTAATTCGGAAAACACACACAAAAAAGAATGTAACGAACTATGATGAGTAACTTACCAAGAAAACTGTCATCTGTCACTTGAGCGGAAAGTCTTTGGTTGTGTCGTATAATTTTCAAAACTATTCACTTGTTGGTTACAATGCTATAGTATAACTATTACACACCAAATACTGCTTGTCTTTGCATTTTGGATGAAATTGATGAACTCTGATAAACAATCACATCCATATCTCTACTATGTCACGGCCATGTTACCCGACGAATCATGCATATTTTAACCCGCTACTCGGTCAAGACTCGTAGAAATTTAGCCCTTTCCCACATTCATTTAAGCTATGGTACATCTAGATTTCTTTATTTGTTTTGATCTTAAGCTTGTATGATTACTTACTGAACGGCTAG